ACTTGGGGGTATCGCTTTAATAAAGCATCACCTCTTTGTTTTCAGTGTTGTATTTTATTTAGCTTAGAACCGCCGGTGCCTCTCCCAACGCCAGCTGCCTACACCATTAGCCCTACAACCCCCGCCGTTTCCTAGAGCACGCCTGCGGCCCTTTCCGGCGGCAGCAGATGCTCTTCTTCACATTCCCCTGGCAGAATGAGGTACCCCGCCTGTCCGCACACCCGGCCGGCCCGCAGTACAGCCAAATCCATCCCTTACTCCCACCATGCCTTTTGTAGCACTGGTACTTCCCTCTCTTCAGTGGGCAACTCTTGAGCTCAGCCTTCTGAGCAGTCATGTCCACAGCCGATCCCTTGTTTCCGCTGTGCAGGCATGAGGTGCATCCTCATCAGATACCAAAGAAAATCTTAACCAAAACCAGGTCCAAAACAAAATCTCCAGAAGTTTTTTTTTTATGCCTCTAAAACGACCCCCTGTAGTTCATTTATGAGCCAGTATATGGACATGCAGTTTGTAACGAAGATACCTTACTATATCGGTGAGAGTTAAACACATTATCTCAACATTAACGGCATCAGTAGCACCATCAAAGTTGGTATTTGGAAGCACTTGAGGCTAAATTAGCATCAGGCACAATCCAGCAGTACTTGGTAGTACACTTTAGTGATAAGGATATTTTAGTATTACTTAACACACATTCCAACTAGACATGCAAAAAGTTTTGGCTCATCAATACAAAACCACCACTTCGATCTTTTCAGTACGTACCCCTGAGAAGTCATCTGAAAAGCAAAACAAGATGCTATTTTAGTTTTGGGATGCTACACAAATTATCTTGACAGCACAGACCTAATTCTTTCTTTAAGTACAACTAAGTCAAGAAGCACTTTGGGAATTTCTGTTTATACATTGCTTTTTAATGCTTACCTTGCCTCCCTCCCCTCTTCTTTTCTGAGAGATTTTTTTTTTTGACACTTCCTCCACAGCTGGGTGCCTGAATTGGGTGCTCTCAAGTCCTTTGAGATTTGCTATTTTGAAATCCAAGTCCATGTTTCAGACCTAGCCTTGTGTAACCTTCTATTTATTTTCAGTAGAATTTATTCAAACCACAGTTATGCAGTTCATAGGAGTCCAAAAAACATTTAACAAAGTTAAAATGCAAATAAAAGTTTAGATGAGAGTAATGAAAACAAGGTTAACTCAAAAATAATACAATACACTGAACTTAAACTACTAAATACTCTGACTACAATTTAAAAGACAGCTTTAGAAATCTATTGCTGGAAGACAGTATAGACAAAAATTTAGTATCACAGTAAACTTTAATATCTCAATATCTTAAAATATAACAATGTGTATTTGTACACCAATGGATTAATTTATGCTGTTAAACTGCAGCATAAAGTGACTGTATCTTCAGCAGAAATCATCGGGCATCAAAAACTACCACTGGAATAGTGCAGTTAAAGGAAAAAAATGTGTTGTGGTTGAAAAAAAGATCAGGGAGAAGGAAGAGGGGGGAGGGAACAAAAGAAAGATTGCCTAAATCTAAAGTCACAGCTAACTACATAAAAGCATTTCAAAACTCATCTTTAATTAACCCCAGAACACACTGCCTTTGTTAAAAGTCTGACTAATATCAAGCATTCACAGTACGTCACCCAGCAATCACAGCTCATTATATTTTGCTGGAAAAATGGAAAAAAAGAAAGTGCCAGGAAAGAAAATAAGATCCCAGTCACACTGCAGAGATTTCCCTATAGTACTTTGCTCTGCTGTATTGATTTTTGGCCTTGAAGGATTCTTACAAAATTAGTCAAAGCTTCCATTTGGTTTCACTTACATACCTTGTCTCCATCCACAGCTTCACAAATGCATTCTAGTACCTATGTAAAAGGATACATCTTTTTGTCCTTTTCTTGTACATTATTCTGTAACCACATTCTCTGCATCTGATAGGATCTCTTGCCTTTATTTCATTTTCTGTATGACATTCTGATGTGATGGAGAAAGAGGAAGGGAGTGGATAAACAAAACCAGCATTATTAATGCATAGATAACTTTCAAAAGTCATAATAGTCAAATTCCTATTTGTGGCAAACAAAACATAATAAAAAATAATTGTAGTGCATTTGTATCAAGAGCTAAATGATATCAAGATACTGTGAAAAAAAATATTAGCAAACTTCACTTAATATTAAGATCAAAGAGGATCTTGCTAAAAATCACCAAATTATTACTGCACAGAATACATTCCACTCTTGATACATCTAGACTGTCTAGTAATGAAAATTTCAGCTCAGACCTCCAAAGCCCCAAGTTTATTTCTTAAAAGACAAAATATTTCTGAGATTCCTGAAGTGACAACTCATAATCACCAATTTTTAAGTTGCTGACTTATCTATAGGTAAGAGAGAATTTGACTACTGCACTTCAATAAAAGCTGAGTGACCACACAGCATTTAAAAACCCAAAAACCTCTCCAAGGTGCACTAAATAGAAGGTCCACTATCTGCACAACAAGCGGATACCTACAGATAGTGTCCTCTGGAGAGGGAGGACCTCTGCACAGCAACACAAGCTCTAGTGAATTACTTCCACATCACTATCTGTGTATACCACATATATGTGGTACCATCAGCGTCGAAAGCTTTAAAGAATATCAGGATCCACACTGCAACTATCGGTATTTATGTACTCTTCAGTATAATTATTATGCATTCCTCATTATTAAAACACCAAGTCTCCAGTAATAAGCAAAAAAAATTCACTGATGTCTTGTCTTTACCTCCACAAATGTAAATCATTGGCTGCTGCTTGGGAGGCTGAACATCCTTCTGTGAATCCATGTTCTAAACAGAAACACACACAACATGCACACCAATTTTAGGTTTTGGGGTTGGTTTTTTTTAATTATTTTTTCAAGGCATACACAATCATTTCAATATCTAATTGTAAATATCAATATGTAAAGCTAACAGAAGACAAAAAACTTCCTTAAAAGTAAATATAAACAAATTCCACCTGTATTTGATACACAGGATTTTTGATAATTCAGGATGGCAGAGACTTCAGAAAGTCATCTAGTTCAACTTCTCAAAAGCCGAGTAGTATCAGGTTTCTCGGAGCTTTACCAATCTGATATAGAAAACCTCCAAAGATGGGCATGGCAAAACATTTTCTATTAAGCAGGATTTTAAACATCAAAACTCAATGAAAATATTTTCTTTCCTCCCTCCTGCCAATGGTAAGAATTTCCCTGCTGGAAATATAAAAATAAATCATTGCTTATGTATCATTCATGTAAGAACAATGCCATCATAAACAAGGTAAGTCTTGTATTTTTTCCCCTCTGATATAACACTAGCTAACCCAATCTACCTTTTCATTGATCTAAGGGATTAGAAATCTTCGGAACAGACTGTAGGTAGGTAAGTAATCACAATTAAAAAAAACAAAACAAAAACAACCAAACAAAATAACGAGGGGCCAGAGAGAATAAATCCCACCCTCAAAATCCTAACATAGGTGTGTGTGATTACCAAACAGATCAAGAGTTTGATAACTCAGTGGTACTCTTCAAACACCTCTTCATGCCTATAATGCTTTTGATTCTTCAGACTTAGTTGGAGACATGTATTCCTTCACAGTATCAGACTAAATAATTACACATACTCCACAAACATTACACCAAGCTTTAAGTAATCCTATCCTAACATGTAAATATGGTTGCAACCACAAATTTTAAGGTTGTTGTTGTAGTAACCATTAAAGATAACAAACACTTTTTTTCCCCACCCAGTGCAAGTCTAGACTAGAACATGAATATCTCCTTCTAGTTTTTTTGAGGTTGCTGTTTTCTGTGTCACTGTTCTGTCTGACCTAGAAGACAAAAATTCTTAGCGCTTATGCCAGTGAATAGCCTTCATGATGCTTCTTTATAAGCATGACTCTTGGATGCTTTTGCTTAATATTGTAGTAAGGATTATTTCCCTGATCATCACAGTTTGTTTCAGTATAAAGTCAACTGGGAAAACTAGGGTCTTGAAAACAGAAGGATAGGTTTGACAGAAACAGTTCACCCTTTGTTTAAGGGAGTCTGATCAGCACTTGACAAACCACCTTGCTAAAACCCCCATTATCCCACCCCATTTGCGAAAACTGGAGATAATTAATTAAACTCTATAGCTTTCAACTAAGGTTTTGCTCTACCATAACCATAGTGGCACCTTAATCCACACGAGTGACAGTCTTTTCATGTCAGTACATTATAGTAAGACAAGCAGTCATCCATCAGCACTTGAAACCAGCTGCATCTTCTAAAACAGACCTGAACTAAGGAGGACCACAGTTACACCTAAATAACTTGAGCTGTTGCTGTTTATGCAGCAAAGTAATAGTGCTGCTAGAGAGAGCAGTGACCTACAGCTACGTATTTTGCAGGGAGGTGCCATGCTTTAGCTGCCCTTCACGTACCCTACAGCTGTAAGTGCTGCCAAGCTGACAGGGCCAATAGGCACATAGTTGCACTGGCGTGCAACCGTAACCTACCGCGAAGACATGGAGCCCCGGCCACGTTACCGGTGCTGACAGGACGCCACACCGACCTGCAAGAGAGGCAAACTCACTCCTTCGCGTCCCTCTCAGAAACCGCGAAGAAGGACGGGCCGCTTTCCTCACAGTCCACCAGCCCCTCAGCCTCAGACACCCCAGCCCGCCCCAAATCCGTACCAGGGCCTCCCCCACCGCCGCCTCGCGGGACTTTTACGCAAGAGGGAAGCCTACACG